GGCATGAAAAAATAAATTATGTAATAATGACAGTTAAATTTTTGACAAATACAGATAAATTATGCTTAAAGACCACCGGAATCGGTTGCATTACCATCAACACTATTTTTTCAATTTTATATGAACACAGAATTATCGTATTTTTGAACCAACCATGCGGGTTGGTTGATACCAACATTAAAGGCCCATCTGGGAGCACCCAGAGGTACGGAGGTGATTTACTACAAGAAAATTTCACGAAGAAACCAATGGAACCTCTTTTAAAACCTTCAAGTTGTGTATGAACCGGGTTATGAGCCTTTAAAGTTTCCAAATTTCGTCCGACCCTCCCAATCGACTCGATTCATTGTACGTGTCTGCAGGTGTTTTTTCCCTTGATAAAATATGAATTTTTAGACATTTGAGAATATTTTTCTTAAAATTTCTCAAAAGATTTTATCTGCAGATTAATCTGAAGTAAATCTGGAAATTTCAAGGAAAGATACTCATAAAATTTTTCCTAAATAAATATTTTATCACGAGATATCTGGCAACTTTTGAATGTTCACACGGTGTTTCCTCTTAGCACGGCCAAATTCGTTGTCGTTCTTAAAACGATTTTCCTCTTCCAGAAAACTCAATTTGCTTTAAATTGTGATTGAGGGAGGAGTTTCCGGACTGCTTTCAGAAAAAAATGAATGCGTCCTGACATCAGGAACTTGACTATCGCGATGATAAATTTTCCGACGGCGCCGAAAGAAAGGTGCACCTAACAGACGAAGTTCAAGGTGCCAATTAAAACATAGCTCAAGTGCAAAGTCTCATTATGGATTCTGTTTGCTGAGTACTTGAGCTCGACGTGTTACAGTACTGGCGGCAGTGGCGGCGACCAGACATCAATCAAAACAAGGGATCAGCCCAGTCAAGTGTGATGCCGAAGCGTAAGCCACCATAATTGCAGTATTGCCAGGTCTACCCTCTCTTAGTATCGACACAGTAGATCGAGTCAATCAGAGGGGCCGAACATGAAATGTTTTACTCGAATTGCAAATTTTGATGTTTAATTTGTCACATTTTAAATTTTACTCTGGATCATTTTTAAATTTTTCAGGGTGTCTCTCACAGAAATGTCCATGAGGAAACAAATGAAACCCCCTTTAAAACCGTAAAGTTTTGTACAAACGGAGTTGTAAGCTTTTAAAGTTTCCAAATTTTGTCCGACCTCTCTTATTGAATCGACCCACTGTGCGACGGTGAAAAACAATTAAAGGGTTGGAAGTTTATGAGTCGTAAAACCCCTACGCTGAAGGTGAAGAATTACATGAAACGGAAGAAACTAATGGCAGATTGGAAATTCCGCAATACATTTCATGAAATTTCACGAGAAAATGAAATTTTTGCAAAAATGTGCAATATTAATTTAGAGGCGAGCAATTCAACCTAAGATTAAAACGCGCGAAACAAGTAGCAAAGAAGAATAACTTAATTTTTACTTGTAACTCTGGATCATTATTCATTTTTCGCACGAGTAACAAAAATTGAGAATTTGCATGCAAATTTCTTATTCCTTCATCTGAAAGTCCTTAGTGAGCTGATTTCACAGTATTTTTTATAATGTTTTTCTGATAAGGGAATTAGTATAAAAGTAGATTTAAAAGTGAGAAAATGCACCGCCTGGTAACGTCATCTGGCGGCGTTTTTTACTTAAACACACGTTTTAGCAGATAAGATCAATTTGTCGTATCTTCTCCAATAACTGTTCACTTCATGAACCAAGGGTATCCTCGTGTTCAGTTCACTCAGCAGTTTCCACCTAAACACGAAATTCATCAAATTTCAGATACCTGCAAATTCTCTATTAGCAATAAAACACCTCCAATTCATATTACCAGCGTTTGATAGTCGTGTAGTGGGGCCTGATAATGGACAACTTGAAACATATTTCTTATAAGTACCTACATGTCGAACCTCTAACTTGTCAATATAGTTACAGAATGGCGTGACAACAGGGGCGTCGAGGACAGTCCTTGTTTTTCACTTCAGGCTCGTCGCAGCAATAAATTGTCAATGTCAGTGACTTGAAGCTCGTAGCAGCGTGGGTCGTCTAGCGGGCGTTGCGTTAAGCGCGTAAGTCGTCAAGGAAATCAGAGAGCCTTCATTATATTGTATATGAAATACGGGCAATCACTGATCACGAATAGTTGCATCATAGCGCCTTTGTCCAAGTTCCGGCGCCTGTTGAATTTAGTCCTACAGCCGTCACTCAAAAAAAACCTCCATTGTTGTCTAATTTTGTGGTATTGCAAAAGCCACCCTCAAATTGTGGACGCTTGTAAATTTGAACAGCCAGAGTTTTCCCTCTGAATAAGAAGAAAAAGAATGGTATTTTCCAGCGAATTCAAGGCAAAGCGATTCTTCTTTGACGAAAATTAGTATTAGGTGCATTAAAATAAGTCACCGATGACACGAAAAGAATTTATTCTTGAGGCTTGTTTCAAACGTGCGTAATACTGGGG